AGAAACTTAAAAAAATAAATGTAAATGAAAAAAAATGTAATGAAAAAAAAAATGAAAAAAAAAAAAAAAAAAAAAAAAAAATATATATATATATATATATATATATATATATACGTTTTTCATACGGTCACTGCGCTGGTGACAGTATGTAAAAAAAAAATAGTGAAAATAATTTAAATTTTTTTCATTTTCCAAAAAAATTATGACAGAAAAAATAACAACTTCAAAAACTCGCCATGCCTCTTATGAAGTACGTCGGACTGTCTACTCTGCAAAAAGGGGTCATTTGGGGATATCTGTACTGTTCTGACATTTGGGGGATATCTGTACTGTCCTGACATTTGGGGATATCTGTACTGTCCTGACATTTGGGGGATATCTGTACTGTCCTGACATTTGGGGGATATCTGTACTGTCCTGACATTTGGGGGATATCTGTACTGTTCTGACATTTGGGGGATATCTGTACTGTCCTGACATTTGGGAGATATCTGTACTGTTCTGACATTTGGGGGATATCTGTACTGTCCTGACATTTGGGGGATATCTGTACTGTCCTGACATTTGGGGGATATCTGTACTGTTCTGACTGGGGATATCTGTACTATTCTGACATTTGGGGGATATCCGTACTGTCCTGACATTTGGGGGATATCTGTACTGTCCTGCATTTGGGGGATATCTGTACTGTCCTGCATTTGGAGGATATCTGTACTGTCCTGACATTTGGGGGATATCTGTACTGTTCTGACATTTGGGGGGATATCTGTACTGTCCTGACATTTGGGGGATATCTGTACTGTCCTGACATTTGGGGGATATCTGTACCGTCCTGACATTTGGGGGATATCTGTACTATTCTGACATATTGGGGGATATCTGTACTGTCCTGACATTTGGGGGGATATCTGTACTGTCCTGACATTTGGGGGATATCTGTACCGTCCTGACATTTGGGGGATATCTGTACTATTCTGACATTTGGGGGATATCTGTACTGTCCTGACATTTGGGGGATATCTGTACTGTCCTGACATTTGGGGGATATCTGTACTGTCCTGACATTTGGGGGATATCTGTACCGTCCTGACATTTGGGGGATATCTGTACTGTTCTGACATTTGGGGGATATCTGTACTGTTCTGACATTTTTTGGACCTTAAGAAATTAGATTGGCTGTCAGTACTTCAGGACTGATCAATATTCAGATCTATACCATAGTTTGTGAACTCTATAACTTTCCTACAAACTAAATAATACATCCTAATTTGGGTTATTGTCACCAAAGACATGTAGCAGAATACATCTCGGCCTAAATTTATGAAGTACAATTATTTATTTGCAAACTTTTATAACAGAAACAAAGAAAAAAACGTGTTTTGTTAAAAAAAAAAAAAAAACTTTTAAAAAATTAAATAGCAAAATCTCAAAAGTTTAATTTTTTAAACTTTTTTAAACTTTTTTTTAAAATACTTTCATCATAGTAGTTAAATGTTACCATATTACTACTCTGGGGAGGTGATCAGGATTTTTTTTCAAAACTTTACTAGTGGTCTGTGATTAGCTACAGCTAATCACATGGTACAGGATGTTGTGAGTGGCCCATGTACCATGTGAGAGCTGTGGGCCAATCACAGATCACCTGGACTAGAATCAAAGTTGTTGCTTTGCTAACATTGTGCTGCAGTAATCAGGACCCGATGATAATGTGAATGCTATGCAATCAACTGATCACTGTGTCCCGATTACCACAGCGCCCTCCTGTGTCGGTACAGCCAGAGCAACTTACCAGTACGTCACTCTGCCTGCACCTGCCGCCCACCTACAGTACAAGCACTGAGGGCAGTCAGTAAGAGCTTAAACAAGATAATAAAATAAATGTAAAATAATTAAAAAGGGACCTTGTCTCCCTGTGCACACATGAGAATGCAAACGAACTGTAAAAGCTTTTAAAGCGCCCCCTATGGACTATATGGGGTACCACGGCTCTTCACCATTTCACAGATTCAGTCAATTTTAAGGCTTGACATGTTTTGTATCTTTTCACTCGATGCAACCCCATTGTTTATCATTTTCACAAAAAATTAGATAATATATTGGGTTTAAGTGCATTAAAATGAATTTTAACAGCAACACCACACCTTGTCATTTTGTGTCAAGGAGCAATATACAAGTTTAGTGAAAAATGTGTACTGTTCTTTCAATGGACTGGTTAGGGTTTTGAAGGGACCCTAGAGGACCCTACAGGTTTGGATTTTGAGGGGACACTAGAGGGCCCTCCAGGTTTGGATTTTTATAGGACCCTAGAGGACCCTACAGGTTTAGGTTTTGAAGGGACCCTAGAGGACCCTACAGGTTTGAATTTTGAGGGGACCCTAGAGGACCCTACAGGTTTGGATTTTGAGGGGACCCTAGTAGACCCTACAGGTTTGGATTTTTAGGGGACCCTAGAAGACCCTACAGGTTTGGATTTTTAGGGGACCCTAGAGGACCCCACGGGTTTGGATTTTGAGGGGACCCTACAGGTTTGGAATTTGAGAGGACTGTAGAGGACCCTACAGGTTTGGATTTTTAAGGGACCCTAGAGGACCCTACAAGTTTGATTTTTAGGGGACCCTAGAGGACCCTTCAGGTTTGGATTTTGAGGGGACCCTAGAGGTTTGGATTTTTTAGGGGACCCTAGAAGACCCTACAGGTTTGGATTTTGAGGGGACCCTAGAGGACCCTACAAGTTTGATTTTTAGGGGACCCTAAAGGACCCTACAGGTTTGCATTTTGAGGGGACCCTAGAGGTTTAGATTTTTAGGGGACCCTAGAAGACCGCACAGGTTTGGATTCTGAGGGGACCCTAGAGGACCCTACAGGTTTGGATTTTGAGGGGATCCTAGAGGTTTGGATTCTTAGGGGACCCTAGAGGACCCTACAGGTTTGAATTTTGAGGGGACTCTAGAGGACCCTACAGGTTTTGATTTTGAGGGGACCCTGGAGGATCCTTCAGGCTTGGATTTTGAGGGGACCCTAGAGGACCCTACAGGGTTGGAATTTTGGGGGACCCTAGAGGACTCTACAGGTTTGGATTTTTAGGGGACCCTACAGGGTTTGGATTTTTAGGGGACCCTAGAAGACCCTACAGGTTTGGATTTTTAGGGGACCTGTTTAACAGTACAAAGCCAAGCAGGAAACTTTGAGGTCATTTAGAACCAATATTTTTTTTCACTTTTTCAGGAGTGCCTCGTCCTGGGGCACAACTTCACATGCAGCACTAAGACATCCCTCAAGCCTGTTATCTTCAAAGATTTGTGTATTTTCAATGTCGCCCTTTGACCCCTTCATGACCAGGGTACAAACAAACTTTAACTCCCAATTTTGCACCTTTGACAGGTTAGTAAATCTGTACATATCATCCCAACTACTTAGTGTACACAGGGGGATTATACCGCCTGTTATTCTGGGCAGATTAGCCTTTCATTTTGTTTTAATATGAAAAAAAATTTAGTCCAAAATAGTAAAAAAAAAAAACACATTTTTAAAAAATGCAGCTGTAAATTTTTACACCATTACCATGACCCACCACCGAAAAAAAACAAAGAATAATTTCTCTACTCCTGATGATCATGACAACCCGCCATACGTGTACATCATTTGTTCTTTGTACCCGAAGTAGGGCAGAGAAACAATTGTGTGAAGTTTTGTTTTTTTATTTTGTGTCCTAGCAAAACATAATGACATTAAAGTGTTACTAAACCCCCAACAGTACAATCAGTCTGTAGATGCAGGAAAGCATGCTTGTTATACTCACTGTGGAATCTAAGGGGTTAATCCTCTGCATTGTGTAAAAAGGCTGTTTGATCCTGTCTTCTCTGCCCCTCCCCTTGTCGAAATTACCACCTGATACAGACTGAATCTGTAATCACATGCACATGCTCAGAAAGTTTTTTTTTTCTTTGGAGAGTGCATGTGATCAGCACATGGCCAATCAGCACTGTCCAGACAGAGGTCAGGACCTTCACATCCTCATTGAGCAGAAAGAACACTCCTCCCACAAGCTTTAACCAGAGCTCTGCTGGACACTGACAGAAGTCACAAGACTGCTATATACTGCTGATGAGAAAAGAGATTTAGCAGTTTATATATTACTAAAATAATTGCATTCCCGTGTTCTGTGTACTGTGGGAGACCGGATATAGTGAATGCGGGGTCCGGGGAGAGCGGATATAGTGACTGCGGGGTCCAGGGAGAGCGGATATAGTGAATGCAGGGTCCGGGGAGAGCGGATATAGTGAATGCGGGGTCCGGGGAGAGCGGATATAGTGAATGGGGGGCCCGGGGAGAGCGGTTATAGTGAATGCGGGGTCCGGGGAGAGCGGATATAGTGAATGCGGGGTCCGGGGAGAGCGGATATAGTGAATGCGGGGTCCAGGGAGAGCGGATATAGTGAATGCGGGGTCCGGGGAGAGCGGATATAGTGAAAGCGGGGTCCGGGGAGAGCGGGATATAGTGAATGCGGGGTCTGGGGAGAGCAGATATAGTGAAAGCACGATCCGGGGAGAGCGGATATAGTGAATGCGGGGTCTGGGGAGAGCGGATATAGTGAATGCGGGGTCCGGGGAGACCAGATATAGTGAATGCGGGGTCCGGGGAGAGCGTATATAGTGAATGCGGGGTCCGGGGAGAGCGGATATAGTGAATGCGGGGTCCGGGGAGAGCGGATATAGTGAATGCGGGGTCTGGGGAGAGCGGATATAGTGAATGCGGGATCCAGGGAGAGCGGATATAGTGAATGCGGGGTCCGGGGAGAGCGGATATAGTGAAAGCACGATCCGGGGAGAGCGGATATAGTGAATGCGGGGTCTGGGGAGAGCGGATATAGTGAATGCAGGGTCCGGGGAGAGCGTATATAGTGAATGCGGGGTCCGGGGAGAGCGGATATAGTGAATGCGGGGTCCGGGGAGAGCGGATATAGTGAATGCGGGGTCCGGGGAGAGCGGATATAGTGAATGTGGGATAGTGAATGTGGGGTCTGGGGAGAGCAGATATAGTGAATGCGGGGTCCGGGGAGACCAGATATAGTGAATGCGGGGTCTGAGGAGAGCGGATATAGTGAATGCAGGGTCCAGGGAGACCAGATATAGTGAATGCAGGGTCCTGGGAGAGCGGATATAGTGAATGCGGGGTCCAGGGAGACCGGATATAGTGAATGCGGGGTCCGGGGAGAGCGGATATAGTGAATGCAGGGTCCGGGGAGACCACATATAGTGAATGCAGGGTCCGGGGAGACCACATATAGTGAATGCGGGGTCTTGGGAGAGCGGATATAGTGAATGTGGGGTCCGGGGAGAGCGGATATAGTGAATGCGGGGTCCGGGGAGACCGGGTATAGTGAATGCGGGGTCCGGGGAGACCGGATATAGTGAATGCGGGGTTCGGGGAGACCGGATATAGTGAATGCAGGGTACGGGGAGAGCGGATATAGTGAATGCGGGGTCCGTGGAGAGCGGATATAGTGAATGCGGGGTCCGTGGAGAGCGGATATAGTGAATGCGGGGTCCGTGGAGACCGGATATAGTGAATGCGGGGTCCGGGGAGAGCAGATATAGTGAACGCGGGGTCTGGGGAGAGCGGATATAGTGAATGTGGGGTCCGGGGAGACCACATATAGTGAATGCGGGGTGTGGGGACAGCGTACATAGTGAATACGGGGTCCAGGGAGAGCGGATATAGTGAATGTGGGGTTTGGGGAGAGCGGATATAGTGAATGCGGGGTCCGGGGAGACCCCATATAGTGAATGCGGGGTTCACCACCGCCCTACCTGTCCCGCCGATCACAGCCGCGGATGTCAGCCGGTCACAGCCGGTCATTACCGGCTATGTCCCGGCGATCGGCGGCAATAGTTGACAGAGCACGGCTGCAGTAGCTGTGCTTTCTGTCAGTTCCCTGACAGCTCCAGGACACGCTGATCGGGACAGAAGAGTTTCTCTCTCTGGATCAGCGGTGTCCTGTGCAGTACACACCCCTCCCCCTAGTAAAACACTCCCCTCACACAGTTAACCCTTTCCCTGAATAATAAACGTAACCTCTTCCTCCCCTGTGCCATTAGTAC